TGGGACAATTGACAGAGAAGATATCCTTCTGTGAGCACACAAGCAGTCGGTCTCAAGGCATCCTCCGCCCTTGTTTGCGTGTGTTGATTTACACATTACATTTTAAATCTTCAACCATAATTGTTAATTTTGTAACATATCTTTAAATGCAGAACTAGATGGTGCATCATATAGGTTGCATCTCACCACCCCTGTTCACATACACTCAGACAGAGCTAAAGGAGGCTGAGTCTTAAGTATTGTAATATCAGAGCAGGACCATCTTGCAAGAACAGAAGTCCTTCTGTTTCGAGATGGTTCATTTCCAAAGAGTACAAAACACTGAAAAAACTGACTCCCCTGTTCCAAGCTTGCACCTTCTCATCCCAAGCTTTTGCACTCGCCATGTCCTCTCTGACCCTCATGTAGCCCTTCACACCAAATGCAAAAAAATTTTTCTTTTAAAGGATATTTATTCACTTAAACCGTGGGTGATTCTAGAAGCTTTCTATAACTGGCCTAGAGATATGTTTCCTTCCAAAGGTTCATAGAAGAAACAAAAATAAACTCTGCAACAGAGGACTTGGCATTTCAGGCTCATGTCTTGGGGGACAAATAGAATTTCTAGAGTAAAATAAACATTAGTGGCCATCTGTCATGACACAACAGATACTGTCAAAGCAGGCTGAATACTTAAGGGTCATTCCTACAACATATTTCAAAAGACATCCATTAGATATGGAAGTGAATTAATTCAAAGGCTCAACGCAATACAGAAAAATGGCTCTTCCTCTGTCCTCCTAGCAACCAAACCCAGTTTAACCAAAGGGAGGATGACTCATTAATTGCTTTGTGGTCCAGTTCACTGTTTTAAAGGATATGATGCCAAACAATTTTCCTATAAAGGAAAACCAAAAAAAATGGAAAATGTATCCTTAAGCCAGCTCCGCAGTCCTGAAGTTGCACTAACCATGCTGCTGTAGATGGGAGCAGGGCTCTCTGAGAGAAAAGCTCTTCAGATCCCTGGCAAGCCCCTGATGTAAGGGCTGTTCTGCAGATTGAAGGGGAGGGGGGCTGGTGTGTGTGTGAGTGTGTGTGTGTGTGTGTGAGAGAGAGAGAGAGAGAGAGAGCGCGAGAGAGCGAGAGAGTGCGGGCGCAGGGCCGGAGAGAGTGTGTCAGAGTTAGTTTTCTAGTTTTCTGCATGATGGTCCTTCAAGAACAAGTCAAGGTCTCTGGGGGATGGAATGAAAAGGAATGCTAAAACCACATCCAGTCACTGAGAAACTCAAGTAAGGTCAGTTGTGGAGAAGCAGGGGGAACTTGTAGAAAAAGGACTGTTTCTCGTAGGGCCACAGGAAGGATGCCTGCTGGCTGCAATATGTAGTTCCTGCTGGCTTGGGAAACTTTCTATTACCTTCCCACCTTCTCCTCCATTTTCTTTTGTGCTTCAAAAGATAATTTATACCGACAAGTTTCAAGTTTGCTGATATTTTCCTCTGCTGTGCACAGTCTGCTGATAAGCCCACTGAAAGAATTCATTTCTGACACTGTATTTTTCAGGACTAGCATTTTTTCATTTGGCTTTTAAAAAGTTTCCATCTCCCTGCTAAAATTCCTCATTTCTTCACATATGTTGTCCATCTCTTTCACCAAGACTTTTAATATATTTATCTTAGCATTTTAAAGTAGCTGTATATTAATTTCAACATCCGAGCCATAGCTAGGTCTAGGTTTTATTGACTGTTTCCTCCTTTAATGATGGGTTATATGTTTTCTTGCTTTTGTGATTGTCATGGAATTTAAAATCTTATAATTAAATATGAGAAAGCTTGGGACCAGGTTTCTGACCCATTTCTAACAGTGTAAGGATTTTAATGACAATGGTTTTTGTAAAAATCTCATTCCTACTTTATCTCTCTTTCCTACTCTTATCTTTTTTACTTCATTTCATGCTTTTTCTTTTTAAATTTCATATTATCTTCTTAACAAACTAGTCAAAAAGACATAGCTGTCAATCCAACTTGAGTAAATTACTTAAATATTAATTTCAACTGAAGGAGGATTAAATGGGATTCGGCTCATAAAGATTAAGAGCGATAAGACTTATAACAGTGTACAGAAAGATTCTAGATGTGTAGAAAGAAGTTCTCTCCACCTATCAACTATTATAATTACATTTTTTTTCTTAAGTGGCCTTAAACTGGTTTTTTTTTTTTTTGGAATAAGTGTAAAGGGTTGACCAGGGTTTTTAAATGTGGAGCACTAGAGGTTCCACGTAGTGAGCACAGCCAGCCTCATGCGGGAGTGAGCAGGTAGAACTCAGTACCTCACTCTCGGTGCTTCATGTATCAAGCACTCTCATTAGGTTTTTGACCAAAAAAAGAAAAAAAAGAAAAAAGAGAGAGAGAGAGATCTATTACCTAAAAAGCTTTGGATTTCATGATCCAAGATTTTCTCCTTCTAAATTAGCCTTTTAAATTACTTCTCTTCAAGGGCACGTGCACTTAAATTAGGTGTATGACTTGAATTGGGATGCCCCAAAAGAGATGCCGAAGTCCTAACCACCTGTACCTGTGAATGTGACCTTATTTGGAGACAGGGTCTTCTCGAAGTCATTAAGTTAGGATGAGGTCCTCCTGAAGTACAGTGGGCCCTAATCCAATAGGACTGATGCCCTTAAAAGAACTAGAGCCACAGAATGAAGCCACTGAAGCGAGCCCCTACTCCTGTGTCCGAGTCCTAGGAGTCATGTGGAAGCGTCTGCAGAACCACATACACATCTGGACACCAGATCTGTTTCCATCCACATAAGAGCCATGACGTCCCCAGGCCAAATCCTATGGCCTGGCCAGTTTCTAACTCCAGAGCTGAGCTGACATGGAGCCATTCTTAATTACTCAAACAAGGGCCTGTGATACTTTCCTCACTTTCCAGTTCACATTACAAATGGGGGGAAATGGAATAAAAGAAACAACCTTCTGACTTAAAATTGCTTTCACTGCATCCTCAACTTCCTCCTGATTGCTGAGGTCAACAGTCCAAACGTGTGGCCGGCCGATGAAAACTTCAGCATAAGGATGTTGAGATGTCAGCTAAAAAAAGAAAAGACAGAACATCTCAGTCTCACATCACACACACTTTAAAAAAAACTTCATGTGCTACATGAAGTGTTATGCTTTTTATGGTACCAAGTTGTACTTGTGCAGATAAGACATCTTTTTCGTTCTTCCTCCTGACGATTAAAACCTCCTAAGCAAACCATAAACAGATAATAGTGATGGCTCCGCATCTTTTTTCTTTGACCCAGTGATCTTTCCAAGTAAGATGCAGACCACATCTTGAATCTTACTTGGAAAGAAGAGTTAGATGTCATAACCAAGAGACATGGAGGATGCTACCGGTAGTTTCAACCCCCAACATTACACCAAGAAATAATGAAGATTTACTATCCTCCATCATATCCTGGCCCCGAAAGTCACCTAGACCAAACTTGTATATGTTAAAAGAAGCTGGTTAGGATAGACAGTAAGCATGGAAAAATTACAATAAAGGCTTTAAAGTCATAGGAGGATGAGTAACAATACTACAAAAGGTGACAGAAAGAGAAATAATGCTACCAGAAAACCAGAGAATTTTGCAATGGTTTCAAGAATAATCATTCACATAACACTGAAGCCTCAATATTTATAAAGAAATTTATATTCAGCAAAGGATATAAAGGAGGTTTTATTTTAAGAAGAATGGGTGGCTGAAGAAACCCAGTATGAACATTGGTAATTCTCACTTCTCAAAGAGCTCATTCCTTAAGACAGTTAAATTTACCCCTCAAATGTATTTCCATTTTTATTCTTGTATCCTTTTACGGTTGTGGTGTGAAAGGCACATTCTGGGCATTTGTGAGAGCATTTTCAGTTCTCACGCACACAGTGGGTGCTATCTTAATGGGTGAGCTGGAACCAGGGATGTCAGATACCTTGCACTGCACACGGCAGCCTTGCACAAGAGAGAACTGTCCACTTCCCAAACAGCTTTCGCATGCACCTCAGACCTTTCGCATGGGCTCACAGAATCTAACTATGTGGCACAGGTTAATATACACTGAATTTCCTAAGAACGTAATTGCAACTTCACTGATAACCTGTTATCATTTTGGAATAATCACGGCAGTGAAGTCAGTGTCACTCTGATGATCTGAATCTCCAGTACAACATACCCGAATCGGTCTATATTTGTAGCTCTCCCATTAATGGCGAATTGCATATATACGGGTATGTGTATATATAGGAACTTTCGTACGTAGTTCCTCTTTCATGCCACTTATAAGCAAAAAGGGCTGACTAGGTTTAGCTGAATGTTTTATTCCTCTTTAAATACAAAGTTATTCATTATAAAGAAGAAAAAGACATCGTGATGTCTTCTAGTTCTTAGATCTAAATTAATTAGTACTTCTTGACTACATATATACTGAAATACGTATTATTATACATTATTTTGCTTTTATTTCTCTTTTATATTAAAGAATCATTCTTTTCTGAAATTACATATGTAGGCAGGGTATATAATTTACAAATTTCATTTCGGGAGAGAAAAGGAGGTGTTACGATATTCTTGTAATAGAAGGAGGTATTGGTTCTGTTAAAGGGTTGAGGTCCTTGCTACACAGGCCAAGCTGGCTCTCATTTTAAGTTCCGAGCCCAATATATTCAGAGGACTAGACCATTTAACTGGCACCTCTCCATCCGGCTTGTGTCCCCGTTCCTTGTATCCTGCCGCACCGACGGTGTGCATGCAGCGCTAAGGACGTACAAGTTACGGGGCCTCAGATTCAAGCCTTCACTGACAGTGCCCCTGGAAATCAAGTGATTCTGAAGTACAGAACCTAGACTGTGCTCTTGCCTCCTCTGCCAGTTACGCCCCTCGCTGGCCTGTCCAGTTCTCCTCCCTTCTGACATGCACCCTCTTCTTCTGCTTAGCCATAGGGTCAGTGATAGAATGCCCGCAGGTTCATGGAGCTAGAGAGACATCATTTTTCCCTTCGGAATTTATTTTAATTTTAACACATATCAATGAAGCCTCTGGGCAGGCCAGGCACAGTGCTAATCATCTGCATATGCATTATGTATCAGGTTTCCTGTGTATCAACGAGGGATCTAAGGTCTGGCGGGGTTTATAAAACCCCAAGGCCACGTAGCCAGAAAGTAGCAGAGCAAATTAAAATCTAGATCCTTTGACAACTTATTAGCTCTAGATAGAAAAGAAGATGACAATTTTAAAGGATACTACTGGGTTCTTAAGACAAAGAGCAAAAGAAGCCCAATGTAAATAACAGTCTTTTAATCACTCTCTTAAAACTGGCCAGCCTAAAAAAATCCCAGACTGAACTTATGCCTTTATCGGACCCTCTCTGAAGATCAGCAAAATGTCACACCATGTTCATTCTGTGGCCTGGAAGACAAACTACATAATTAATTTTACAGTGGAATCAGGGCAAGTTAAAGTTGCCATGAATGTCACTACTTAGCTGCTTACCTATCCTCTCCCTGCTTATCTCTCTCCCCTCCTCCGTATAAGGTCCCTGCTTATTTATGAGGTAGTTCTAAGTACTCGGAAAGTACAAAACACTGAGCCATTATTATTTCGTTCATTTATACTTATTGAGGGTTACTTAATTTTATGAGTAAGGCATTTTTTGATTCATTATTCATCCTCTGAATATTATATTCCTTCTTGTTAATTTATTGAGAACTGTCTGATCTGAGCTTTTTCCTTGTATATCAATCAGTAAATTTACTGGAGTATTGTTTGTAAAAGTAATGGAAATCTTATAAAATATGAGACATTACTTCAGAGCGGCTATTAGATCTCCAAAGAGAATATGAGTTATGAGGGGGAAAAAAAAGAATCCCTCAAGCCAGAGAATTTCTAATGGTTTACAAAATGTCAGAATAATGATCAAGAACCTACTAATATATTTCCCAATATAAAGATAAAAATCCAATTTATATTACATTTAAAGTAGAACTTGAACTGACCATATTACTTAAGGCATTAAAGAACTTTTTCCCCTAAGTGTACATCATGGTTTTGAAAATTGGTCCAATGCAAAAAATAAAAATAAAGTTTTGCTTTCTAAAAACAAAGGAAAATCTAGACTTTCCTTCTCTTCAAATGAAGACAAAGAAGAAAAATACATGCAATTTATATGGGTCAATTTTTGCTTAACTTGAAAGACTAACATGGGCCCAAAAAGAGAGCTTTGTAATTATACACACACTTCATTTAAAATTTTTCCATCTGCTGAGGAAAAAAAGGCTTTTTTTTTTTTTTGACCCTATAGAGAAATCTATAAAACTGTTGGTACCTGTTTCTCAATTAAAAGCACCTTTAGCTATAGGGGAATTTGGGAGCTTTTGTGAACTAAAAGAGTAAAGTGTTCCACCTGACCATGAGGTCAAGTTCACTGGCTCCTCTCAGAGCTATGCGATGTTGCTGGTGGCTCTCAGCTGGCTCTCTGGACTGTCTCTGGCAGAGGAGATAGACATCAGATGGAACCTGCCCTCCAGCATAAAGCAAAGTGACCTTGGGACTTCCCTGGAACTCATCAACATTCATGTCCCTGAAGCTTGAAATCCCACCCTCCTCCTTTTCCTTTAAAGCACAGCTCCTCCCTCCACCAACCCTTCTCAGTTAATCCAGCACACTCTCCACCTGGCACAACTCCAAGCTAACTCTCCCTCCTTAATTTACTTAGCTATTTCTTTATCATTTATATTGATTATGTATCTGTCTTAGCAATCTTATATATCAGATTTTGAGCTACTAGGAAATAGAAAATGTGTCTTGATAAGTTCCCCGTAATGCAATAACTAGTACCATGGACCCTGAAGGACACAAGAAACATCTGTCAACTGATCTTCTGCATCCCGTCCCTCCTGTGGGAGCCTAAGACCGATGGAGTCATCTGTGTGAGATCACTTGCAACTGATAGAAAGCAACAAACATACTTTTCTCAATAACTTCATTCTGGCTGATCTGATCTATGCAACATTACATAATTCACTAGGAAATAATCTGTGTTTAAGAGTGTCCTACTTTTTTATTCCCCCCCCAGGAAAAAATACTCCTTGGTAACAAAGTGGCATCAAAATCTTTACAATTACAAAAAAAGGGGTCAGTTGCCAACATAGTCTAAGATACTTTTGATTAATCATTCCCCAAAGGCTTGTATATAGAAACTGCAGTAAGAAAAGAGATGGGTTTCTTTGCTTTTCATGAAGTCATGCGGAGGGTAAAAGAAAATCACTGTTAGAGCACCACAGTAATAACTGATACAGGCAAGACCCACGACTACGTGGTAAAAATAAATGGGCAAAAGTTTGAGAAGACCAGGATATTTGCACAGTCTCAAAGTATTTTCCCCAATATAGAGAAAAATAATAACTTTATTGTAGAGAAACCTAACAAATACTATGTTAACCAAGTGATCAAGGTTATCATCAACAGTAATAAGATGATATAGTGACACAATGCACCCCCAGATACGATACACTGAGAAAGGTAAAATTGCTTCTTTGATATTCTTGCCAAAAAATGTGTAACCTCAAACTAATTATGAGACAACATCAGCCAAATCCAAATTGAGGAACAGTGTACAAAAAAACTGACTAATACTCTTTCAAAGTGTCAAGGTCATGAAGGACAATGAAAGACTGAAGAGTTGTCACAGATTGGAGGAGACTAGAGAGACACGACAATTAAATGCGATGTAAGATCCTGGATTGGATCCTGGCACAGAAAAGGGTTATTAGTGGAAAAACTGGTGAAGTCCACATAAAATCTGTAGTTTAGATAATACTATGATACCAATGTTAATTTCTTAGTTTTGACAACTGTACTGTGGTTTTGTAATATGTCACCACTACAGGAAGCTGCATGAGTCATATAACCAAACTCAGTACAATTTTTGCAACTTTTCCATAAAACACGCACATACACAAGGAACTCTTGTCCGAGGTTATCTAGGCCACAGGGTCATCTTTTTGACGATGATCTATAGATCTTGTTGATCTTCCTCCATCTCCTTTGGCCATTTCGGCAACGATAGGGAGGGTCAGAGAAAACAACACTCAAAATAATCAACTCTATGAAGTGGTAAGATCTCTGGTGAGTAAAGAATAATCACGGAAGATGCATTTTATATAGTATTTAGGGAAGGGGTATTCGGGAGAATCGAGCCAGAAAGGTTTAGAAGTAGCAGAATAGAAAAACCTATGCCTTAGTACTGTTGTATTGCTGCTAGGTCGTAGGAGGAATGGGAAGCCTGCCCAGCAGTGTAATCCCGAGTAGAAGGCCTCAAATGACAAGGGCACTGTGATGATGCTGACACTTAGAGGCTTCCTCCTCGCCAGCAGCCTACAGAGCCACTTACTAACTACACTGAAATAATAAAAAAATTAATATTGTGGTTTCTTGCACACACCTTTTCTGACCGGATACAGAAACACCCGGCTTGATCACTCACATGCTCTAAATGACTTTTGTTTATTGTCCCAAATCAAATCCAACTGCCTCCAATGGTGATTCATGACCCACTGTGGATTTTCAAGAGGATCTCTGAAGCCAATTGAAATAAAGCTTCTGCAAACAGCTCGAGCAATGGCAGGATTACTTCTCAGGATGGTGCCGTGCTGGCTGACGGTGGGCTAAAATATCTGGCACGTTACTTCAGTCACCGATGATATATCCTGTTTCTCAAGGTTGATGGTTCTTTAAGAATCCCATGACCCACTCTTTAGTCCCCACAGCCCATCATGGAGAGTAGCTCCTTCAAAAATACCTGTTAACCAGCTGATTGCCCTATTCCACAACTCTAAACATTTGGAATGTCAAAGTTCAGCTAATTTTGCTGGAGATGCCGGTTTGAATTGAGAAAGACTTGTGGCAGAGGGAAAAAAAATCTCGCACTTTGTGAAATGGTGGAAACAGATTTAAATCTTGGCTCTGCCACTATCTAGCTGAAGGATGTCATCAAGTTGTGCATCTCCCTGAACCCCTGCACACCCTTCCTCCATCCAACTGTGTTAAACGAAGTCGGTAACACCTACTGTCCAAGGCTATGAGCTTAAATGAGCTCTCGGCACTCAATAGCTATTATTCATATTGTTGAGGAAAGAATAATGTTAATAGATGCTTACCTCTCTCAGAGTTGGTTTGCCAATGAAAAAGTCCGTGTTTTTGCTGCTTTTGGGTGGGCTGAACTTGGGATTCAGAAAAGCACATCCATTTGCGATGGCCTCCAAGGGAGCTGGGCCCTCATAAGGGAACCCAAGTCCAACAAACAACTGTAAGAGAGAAAAGCATGCCACATATAAACACGTCAATCAGGACTGGTGTCTCTGGCTCACAGGGGGGCTATTCTGTCCTCCATTCCTGTGTGAAAGCCTCAGAAAGTCTGGAAGGTTCCCAGGTCTCGGGGGAATGGGGCAAAGACAAGTCAGCTTACATCAGGACCAGGGATCCTTAAAGACTCATGAAGCTGCTGAGGTCATTATATTCTCCTTTGCTAAAAAAATAAAGAAAGAAAGAAATCAGTGCTGGGATGGGCAGTCGAGGGGTAGGAAAGTAGGGGTATTAAATGAATAAAAACAACAACAAATACCAGGACCCAACAATAATCTTTCTGTAACTCACCAGGAGACATGATTGGAAAAACACTTGCTTAACTAAACAGAAGGTTTCTTCATTGAACCAAAGGAACAACGGCCCCTTTCAGTGATGCTGGGCAGAGGGACAGAAAGGTCACTTGGTTTGATTACAGCTCAAATGGAGCTGTTTTGAAATGACGGTAGGTCAGTAAACACAGGTTTTCATAATGGGGTTTTCACTGGGGAACACCAAGATCTTGGTTTTTATTTTCCCCTTGATGGGGGAAGAGGGTGCCAAGCTGCTAAACGGACAAGGCTGCTTCCTTCTCCAGAGAGCAAACCATGTGTTTTCCCCACATCAGACAATAGATGGCAGCAAAAACACACTCTGACAGTGCTCATACCAACTGCAGCTGAGAGCTCCGTGACAAAGGGAACTTGCTGCAGTTCAGTGGCACTGATTCCTGGGTCCAGAAATGAAACAGCATCTCACAGAAATGCCAAGCTGCATCTCCTCACCGCGGGATATTTCGCACTGCTGGAGGGCTGTGGGTTATTGATGGGCAGGGTCCAAGTCCGGGCTTGGTGAGACGTGAGCTCTCCCTACCCACATCAAGGAGCCAGTTTTGAAATCACTCCAGTCTCAGGAGGCACATCAAGTGACAAAAAAATAACTGGGCCTCAGGGCACGATCTTCTTCTGCCATCACAGTGAGGAACACTCACAAGGCCAGGCACCGAGAGGGAAGGATACTGCTGCACTGGCTATGGCTGCATGCTCGACTCCCCTGCCCCGTCCCTCGCTCCAGCAATCCTGTCTTTGCAGCTGCTTTAATCGAAGGATTATTTAGAATGGTTCTGCCTAGAGAGCCCTGAGACCAGGCTGCCAGGTTCCCTGGGCAACAGTGGAAGATGAAGGATGTATATGTTGGGCACACAATTCCAGGGCTGGCTACTGCGCATGGCCCACGATGGACATATTGGAGAGTTACGTAGCCCCCGCAGGGATTTTTCTGGGGCAAGAAATTAAAATCTCTGGTTTTCAGGAGAGACTCCCTGTCTTATAACTGTATGTTCTTTTGCACAGAACAGGGTACGTCGCCTTTTTGTCGTTTGGAGGAATAACCTCTCATTTCCTACGAACCTTGAGATGACTGGCTACACTGTTGGAAACGTCCATGGGGGATGGGGGCGTTCAGGAGGAAAGAGGCTCTGAGAGGTCCATGGAGCTCCTTCTGCAGGCTGGGTAGTGTTCCTGGGGCAAAACCACCAGAGACATGGGGTAGAGGGAAGCAGGGTAGTGGGAGCCTGTGAGCTGCAAGATATAAGCGGTACCTCCACACCACTGGAAGGCCCTGTTTCTGGACCTTATTCTGTAGCTCACGGGAGCGAGATTATCGGAGAGAACTGACACGTATAGGCTGTGGCCTGAGCATGCGCCTCAGGGGTAGGGGCGATGCCTGAGAGCAGCAGAAGAAATAGAAGGAAGCAGTGGGGGAGTCCCAAGACATTCCGGCTTTGTCAACGTGAAGAATCCCGGGTTACCGCCCTTGAGGCTTTTGATCTCTGTGATCTGCCCTCCCCATAAGATTTTGGGGAGGATATGCTGGCTCTCCAAGGGAAAGATGACCTCTATCAGGCTGAGGTTGGGCAGAGGAAAGCGTAGGGCTTCCTGATTCCTTTGACTCTGGGAAGAAAGATGCTGGAAGATGCAGACAAGTCTCTATGGGTTTAACCAGAGAGAGACCTATTGTATTTCCTGACCTCTGAAAATCAGGGCCTGCCATAAAGTGCTGATACCTTCATCAACTCTAAGTTGCAAAGAACTTTGGAGGAAACGCAGGAAGCACAATGCTTATCTATTGAAATAGAAAATCCTGGAAAAAAATTAATTAGCTCCTTCAGACCAACCAATCTGAACCCATTAATTAAAAGGATTTGAGGCACTTGCTTAATAGACTTGAATGTGACCTAGGTTTAATTATATCTGAATAACAATTTGCACCATCTCTTCTGCCCTGCTGGCATTGGAATATCTCCATATGCATAGAATAAACACTTTGGGCTAACTTTCCAAAGCCTTCACAATTTTAGAATGAAGCTTAAGCAAATACCACACAATTTCTTGACAATGAGTTTCTTTGTCACACTACTTAGGAATGCAGGAAATGCATTACTCGGGAACACCAAAATAAAAAGTTTTTTTTTATTGTTGTTACTTTGGTCAATAAGCAATTTTTTCCCACTTCCTGCGTACTCGTTTCCTGTGACATTATAACAGACAGATGTGTTACGATCAGACAGCACACCTGAGGTTTGAATGACAACAGGATAGGGCAGAGAGAGCTCACCGCCACCAAAGGGCATTCCATAAACTTCTGAGTGCTTATGGCTTGCCACGCCCCTTACCTTAACCATACTAAATTGCTCTTCCCCTACCCGCCCTTCCCTCTCATTCTGCCCACTGACAGATTTCAATAGCATGGGGATGAGAAATACACTACAAGAATGAGTTCAAACGCAGAAGCTTAGCTCTTCAGGAGGAAACTGGGCATCTTTTATTTATACTTCAGAGGCCCATCAGAGGCCCAGAATCTAATGAGGATATTCCAGATGATGGAACATCTCCATGGTTGCAACTCCGGCTCCATCGATGAGCATTTCTAAACAGAGGGATTACATGCTCTAAAATTAAATTTCTGAACTAATACTAAGCAAGGGAGAACAGATGAAGCGCCATATGTTTTATTCATGGCACAAGATAGGGACATCCCTATATATCGACAAAGAGTTTCAGTAAAACCACTCAGATTTTTACTTTGTGTGAAAGGTGAAACAGACTTGTTTTAAATCCGTTAAGTGGAGTAGTTAACAAAGAATCCTTTAAATATGGATAAAGATAGTAGTTCTTAGGAAGATTCCACGGGTTTGGTCATTTTCCAGTCACTCCTGATGAGGAACCAAAGATAAACAAAACCAAAATAAGAAACACATATTCAACATACAATTTTCTGACTAGTTTTAATTAGCTAAGTCGGTGGGGTGGCTCAGGAAGGAGTTTGAGCAATGAATCAATCTCAGCTTATCCATTAAATTGATTACTGGCACAAAGTAAACAGGTCAATGTGGTGATGAACAGCACAGGCTCTGGAATCAGGGAGACCAGGGTTCAAATCCTAACCCCATCATATCCTAGGTTCTGGAACTTTAGAAAATTGTTACACGCCTCTTTTTACAGATTATAAAAGCCCATTTATCATCTATTCTCTCTAGCTATGGGACTTCGGTTGAGGTAACACAAACTCTCTAAACCTCTCTTTTTATGTGTAAAATGCGGGGAAATAGTGCGTTATTTCATGGTGCTGCTGTGTGGATTAATGAGATATTTCATGGAAAGAATGTATTCCAAAGCCTGGCACTTAGTAAATGTTCACTAAACAGCAGTCCAAGTTCAAATCCACATTCAACTTCACACAGCTCCATCTACATGACCTGGTATGATTTAGCTAGAGTTTGTTTAGCTGTGCAGGAGTTGTGGCTGTGGGTTCTTACAAGATGTTCAGCACCTATATGTGTATTTATGTATTCTCACTATTTCGTAAGTACCTAAACTAAAAAAAGGGGAGGGACGTCTATCGGAAGAAAGAGAGAGGATGTGGTTTACAGTGACTGGGTCATGGAAAGGTCAGTCCCATGACCGACATGCTAAGCCTTACTTGTTTATTCTTCATATAATGGTCGGGAATCGTTCAATTTTTGGTAATAGCTATCCCTTTTACACCTTTAAAAAGAATCCATACAATGGCTGGGTATGGAAGAAATTTATTTTCCTGATAGGTGATGCTTTCATAGAGCCCGAAGCGTCCCTCTCTGGCCATCTGTCTTCCTTTCTGCACCCCACGCTGGAGGAAGAGACAACAGTGGCCAAATTCTCTCTCATATAGGTTTGCTACACCCTCTTGTAGGTTCCATAAGCTCTTAACCTACACTACCTCAAAATTCTCTCGTAAAGACAAAAGGGCCAAGGAGATAAACATAAAGATCCTTGTCAAGTGTGTTTAAGTACCCGAAGTTGACTGCTAAACCAAAGACTATTTCCTAGAGACCAGTTTACTGGGTAGACGCCCAGTTACCTAAGTGGCCTTTCAGAAACAAAGCAAAACAAAAAACAAAACAAAACGCAAACAACATCATCAGAACTTCCTTCACTGCAGTCATTTAGAAGCCCCAGTACAGAATCAAACGCATTTACAATTTGCATTGTAGATGCAGATGGGGGGAGTAAGAGGATATTTGAATAAATTTAAAACTCTACCTCCAGCTAGGCCAGCATGAAATGCTTACCATTCAAAGGCAGTTCAGGTGTCACCCCCCTGGAAGAGCAATCCCTGACCACTCTCTCACCCGTATTCCACGCCAGGCTGACTCCTCAGCTGCAAATGGTGAGGCAGCTCAACAGGCCTCTTCTCTACCATATTAAGATGGATTCCAATGGTACCCAGATCAGAGGACTTTTGTGATGAAGAGATAACTCACAGAAAGGGCTTACCACAGGTAAGGGTTAGAGTAAATGGCCCCACACAATTGTAGTCAAATCCTGTGGCATGCACGCCATGATAACATAAATGTGTTAAATGTGTTAAAAGTGACAATCAGCTCGTGTCCTCCACAGCGGCCTCACCCCATATTTCATCAACTTCACAAGTCACAACTGAATGGCTGACCTGCTTACAGTATCAGTGAGGTTTTACAATGGTATAACAATTTTTATTATTACTACTTCTGCCTGTGTACTTTTTACATTGTTATAGTTATCTTTTTGTCTTCTCCACCACATCACACTTGTGGGCAAAACTGCCTTAGTCGTCAAAAATGCCTAAAATGAGGCCTGAAATATATTCAATACTCCATACACATTTGTCAAATAAATGAGCGAAAGAATAAATACTAATAGGTTAGATTTTTTTTCAGCAATCAAGTGTCTCTGTGAGATGCTGAATTTTTTGGGGGGTGGTGCATTTGGGTGTGGGGATGTGCTTTTGTTCCTAAAGTCAGAGAGGTTACTGAATCATATCTCTGTACACTCTTCATTCAGCATGTATGTGTAGGAGGGAAGACAGAGCGAGGAATAAGTGTATATATAAAATTTTTTTCCATCTAGTTGGAAAAGAATAATTTTAGGTACTGGTCACTAAAATGAAACCTGCTTGACTGCCTGAGGGTGAATATGTCGGTATCTGAAATAGAAATGGAAGATCGTTTCTCCACTAGTAAGTTCCTGGGCTCTCTTACAGGGCCATAGAGTCATAGCAAAGGGGTATGAGAAGGAAAGTGTCCCTTGCTGGGGAGATCTCAGAGACCTAGGTGCATGATTCATGAGAAAAGGAAAAAACCACTCCTAGGGGGCAACGGCTCCAAGATCCCAGATGGTGAATAGATTTTTATCGTGATGACTTTCTTCATTTTAATTACCTGAAGGCTTTCTACAAGCCAGGCACTGAGAACATACCTGTAAACAGAATAAGCAAAGCCTCTCTGCCATCATGGAGCTGTATGAGTTGGGTTCCACTGGCCGTGGCTGTCTCAGCCCTGAATTTCTGAGAGAGGTCGTGCGAGCACATCCAAGCTCATGGGAAGAGGGATGGTCGAGTGGGGAGTCAGACATGAGGATGGGACGGGACAGGGACAGTATCTACTGTATATCTTCCAATCTGCCCAGGCTTCTAGGTGAGTCCACAGGTAAGCTCATGAATTTCTTTTTATTGCAAACTAAAGCTCTGCTAAGCTGCTGAGCTGACATGGCAGGGAAACAGGGTCACTGTGATGCACCCAGTGTCTGAGGGGGAACGACTGAAGGTTTGGTTAGGGGAGGGGTACAGAAACAGCATGAGCGGCAGCACCTTCTTCCCTGGCTTTCCACAGCCAGCATGTGTTCTCAAGTCTTACTGTAGAAAGGGAGGTGCCTGTTCTGGCTCACTCCAAATGCTCTTTTATCCCAGAATAAAATGTGAAATGCCCCATTGTATAAGGAGCTTCCACAGCAAGACTGGGGGTGGTGGTAATAAAGAGGTTAAAATTAGGAAGGAGAAGGAAGAAGTTACATTAAAAGAGATGGAGATTCAAACCCAAAGCAAAAACATGCCGCCCCAGTCAGTGCTTACTTATTTGCTGGCTTAAAGTGCACTTCTGGAGTTTGCTGGACTCAAAGACTTGTCTATGGTCCTCTGATAAATAATTAATTCATCCAAATTTATATGCCTATTAGAAGAGTCTTTTAGATTCAACAACTCCCCAGCTCTTTCAGTCTCATTTTAGTGCCACACTGAATTCCTCCTGTCTTCGTAGGCTCCCTGCAGCTGGAGTCTGCTAATGACACCTGAGTCCCTAGTGGCATGCCAGGACGTAATTCTGCTGAGCTGAGGGTTTCCTAGGCTCGATGCAGAGATTCAAAGATGGCTCAAAGGAAAAATAATGAGTCAGAAGCTGATTAAGCATCAATCATTTCGCTATTTCTCTAAACTTCGAGGAGCACCAGACTTGCTTCCCTCTCCAATAACGAGTTGGAATCCCATTCATTCTGCAGACATTTGCTTCTCTGCATCTCCAGTTCTCCACTTTCAACATGGATTGGAATAAATTGCTTTTAAATTGCACGGAGACGCAGAGAAAGAGTTAGAGGCAGAAAGGGTTATATATGCAAAGCCTGACTAGTCTTTAGTGTCATTATTTCAAAGTCCATTTTAGTACCTGTGCTGTGCTGCTGCTGTGTTCTGGGTATAATAACGGGGTGGGGGAGGGGGTTGTCCTGGCGATACACTGTCTCATTTTCATCATATCTGCCAACTGTTTTAGCCTCCATTCCACTCTGAATACTTTAATATATTCCAGACACATGAACAGGTAATACAAAATGGGACCAGGGACGTCCTCTGAAGGCACCAGTTTTTCAAGAGTAAATATATGCCCCTCACACTCAAAATTCAAGCTGCAATCCTTGGTTGCTAGGCAATCTCTGACATGGTAGCCTGGTCCTTCCAGGCCTCTTCTCTTTTCCTCTCTGGGATGCCATGGACCTCGGCCTTGGCCTTGGCCTTGGCCTTGGCCTTGGCCTATTTCCCATTCTCTGACAGAGAAAACGGATGGTAGGTAAGTAAAGGTTCTTTTAAAATTTGTAAGGCTAAGTAAGACATTCACGAGGCTGGGTTAACAGAGGTGTGCGAGACGGTAATGACATGCTGCTGAAAACCGGCGCTGCCAAAGGTACTTTTAAAGGAGCTTGAGTTTTTTGTACAATCTGATGTGGGGAAAAGTAAAATGAGACAAATGGCAAAACGGCATTGCCACTAATGGGCTTGCACATTCTAATGATTCTAAAATGTCACCTAAGACAGAAGATGAATGAAAGCAAACTGCAAACTGGGAACGTACTTCACTCCTGATTGCCACAAACAATCATCAGACTACAGATGATCTTGTAAGGAAATAAAATCCTAATTAAAACAGCCAAATTTTTGGCCAAGGATATAAATAGTTTATCAAACTATTTTATTCATGGCATCACAAGAGGTAGAAACGGTCAAAATGCATTTACATATGGAGTAACTGAGGCAGAAAGGAGATGCATATTCTTTTGGCTGGTGAGTATTTATTAAATGTTCTTAAGTTTGGGTATTTATTCATGAGGATGGTATGCTGAGGGCCTAGCAGAGCTTTAATTTGCAATAAAAAGAAATTCATGAGTTATGGCCACGTTCAAGATGACCTCAGCGACTGTGCAAGCCAAACTCTCTAGTCTGTTTCCTCATGTTTACAATAAAGTTAACAATAACACCTGCCCTGCCTACCTCTGAAGGCTGTTGTAAGAATTAAAAAGGACGGCATACGTGAATACGCTCTCCAAAATCGAGGTATCCCACACTGATTAGAAATCGCTATTACGCCACAGAAGTTCACCCACTCAGCCTTTCTCCCCCAACTTGAAAACGAATAGTTAGGGGCCAGAGCTGAAAAATTCACTATTGATAACAAGCTCTTTTATCCTTCAGGAAACACTGAGGCCGGGATCTGCTTGTTTCTTCGCTCTGTATCCCTCACATAATGTCTGGCACATAGAAGCTGCTGAGTCATTATTTATAATATTCATAAATAAAAGTTTATTAATAAACATGAGAGAGCTTATCTAATACATTAAAGTGCCAGCCAACTCTTCAAGGCCAAACTCTTGTCTATTTGCAAGTCCCCTAATTTCATTTGGTTCTTCCATGGCAGAATTAGATATTGGGTGGACATCCCCATGGTGTCAAAACGACATATTTATCACGCCACTAAAACAGTCCTCCATCAGTGGCTTCCCCAACTACCTGCACCACAAGGTCGGAACTCTCTGTCTGCGACAATTAGACCCTCGGCCCCTTATCATATTTTATTTTCACTATTTCCTAGCATAGACCAGCTGGTTTCTGACTCTCTCCTGAATGTGTCATCTCCACCTCCACCACATGACTCTCACTCCTGTCTGTCCCAAATACCAGGTGCATCCACACCCCATCCATTTTTCATCTTTTACATCTCTCATGATGTTTTCCTATTCCTTGAGCCTGAAGGGACTTTTCCCTCATCTGAACTTCTTCAGTGTCCAGTACTGAATGAGGAGGTGTGAAGAAAAGCTAGTTGGGTACCGATTGGTGGTGACTGGAGAAGTGTGTGTGTGAGGGGGGGTTTAAGCACCCCACGCTTGCTGTAAAAGCTGCTGCTCTATCAGAAGTTCTGGCTCTCGAGACATGGCCTCACTTTCCTATGTGCCACTGTGTCCACAGGCCCTCACTTGATGCCTGGCACAGAGGAGGTCCACAGTAAGTTTTAACTATATAACCTCCTTCCAAAATTCACTAATTTTCAGCTACAGCTGGTCTAGAAAACCACTGCCCAGAAATGACCTAAAGAGCTATTGCAGCATTGAAAAGAAAGCACCAGAGATTCTGACCCCATTTTCAACACCAATGGAAACAAACCTGAAAACAACATCGCTGATGAATTTTTACAAAACTACTAAAAACTTACCTTTGTTTCTCGGAGAAGAAACTGCAGGTCCCGCCCACTGAGGATACCATGGTTTTTCACGTAACTGGGAATATTCTTTGTGCTGGAACCGTAAACGGTGGCATGCACTTCCATGTATGTGTGAATAATGTCCAAGTAGATCTTCTTATTCTATAGAGGAGACACAAGAAAAAGACATTTCTCATTTCTTTTCATTCTCATAACAACCTGTCTCATAGCTGAAGGCCACACACAGACAGGAGTTCTTAATATGAAGATTGCAGGAATTTGGTAATCTAACACCTAAAATTTCTTTTGAAAGTAATCTCACCGGATTTTGGGGGTAAAAACAGTCATATGGCCACTGTACAATTTTGCAAGAAGAAACATGTTATATGGGAACACATTACTGAATACCAATGCTAGCTCAAGGCCAATTGTTTCAAAGTATCGTCCTTGCTTTGTAAATTACCAGGATCCGACACTTTGCTTTTGGCTGCTCTACCTTATGGGAGAGGAAGTTTGGGGAAAGAAAGCCCAGAGGACAGTCAGTGGGACTAGAATATTTATCCAGAGATTCTAAGCTGTCCCCGAGGAGCACAAACATGCCCAGCTCTTGCCAATATTTTTAGTGATGATTAACTCATGTTGTCAGAACTGGATCCCACCTAATTTGCACCATGGGGAGAAGAGAGTTTCCCACAACACACAGTGACTGACTCGGCAGCTGTAGAGAGAAGACTATCCAGGTCGACAAAAGTGGAAAAGAGATTAAATGTAAACTTTGATGGGCTCTGAAACATTCAGGAGTAGTCTTACTTTTATTAGCAGCAACACAAAACCTCTTTTCCGTACTGAATTTCAAGGTACGCTTTCTAAATCAAAACCATCTGCCAAGCGGAAGCAAGCTCACTTGCCCTTCCTCTTCACGTTTCCAGTGCCACTAAATTGCATAAGCTGTGTTTCGCAGGCCGTTTGTTTTGTTTTGTTTTTAAGTTTGAAAGATTCAAGTTCTGCAATGTTTTCCAGTTGTATAAAAGTGGGACAAGGTTTCCCAGTTCTAAGCCTGTCTTCAGATGCTTCAGGAAAATGAAGTGATAGCCAGTTTTATGACTTAAGACCACAAGGAACATCGGGGTGTGGCGTCAGCAGCCACAGAGTGCAGAAGGAGGGGAACCTGGCTCCGAGGAGGGGAGGCGCGGGCAGCAGCATTCCCCGCCTGCCCTGCAGGGCTGGATCCCTGATTCTAAGTGGTGGGGCAGCTCCTCATGGAATCATGAGCCAGATTCAGGATCTGTCTTCTGCCATTCACTGCCCTAGTAAAGAATATCACAAAGGACACTCAACTCTGGGGGACGCGTGTTTCAGATCATGTATCCAAAGTCTTCATGACTGGTAAAACAGTATAATTCACATTCTCTATTTTATGCACCAGGATGATCTTGTTTGGATCAACCAAGTCCAGCCCAATACTCTAATGTGTGAACTAAGTGAACACCTTGGCTGAAAATCTAATTTCATGCCAAGTTTGGTGTGGCTGGAAGATGTTGAATTCATTATTTCAGAGATATATACCCTTGAATTAGTGCCAAGGTGACTAAAAAGAACAGTTTGTAAACCATGACTTCTCATTCATAGCTCGAGGCAAATTTAGGATCACCTCCCTGGTATAAGTTAATTCGAGGGGTTCTATGACACAGCTCTTATGCTAGTGGTACCCGATGACTCCTCCCCCCGCCGCCCCAAACCCTTTCTCAGAGAATCTATCCCTATCGACACACCCTGCCACTGATGTCTGGCCCAGGGTGTTTCTGACCTGAGGGGGATCCACTTCTAGGCTGGCCGGCAGCCTGGAACAGTGTGGCCAAGCTCAGGAAGATGAGCAGAGCCAACTAGACCCTCTCTCGGGAACTCAGAATCCCGTACACAGAGAAATTACTGCCAGATGGCCTTGGGCTTTTGAGCAAAAAGGTCAATCAGTGTTAGAGTCTGGACAATTACAGGCCAGATACAAGTTCTGAGGAAGCCAGCTGCCAGTTTTGGGGGTTAGAGGTGGGAGCGGAATGAGGAAAGAGCTGAACGAAAGGAAAAGAGACGACAGAGACAAAGAGCTGGTAATAAATAAGCGGGACCTAGAGAGTGACTGAGTCCCAGACATCATCCCTGCAAGAGAGAGGGTGAGGAGGGAGGGAGGGGGAGAGAAAGAGGAGGGGAGGGGGAAGAAGGAGAGAAAGAGGAAAAGCTGGAGGAGGGAGATGAAGAGAGAGTGAATGAAGGAAGAAAGGAGACAGGAGAAAACCAGGGCCCAAGCTGCCTCTGGGTCCCATACCATCCACAGCTGCTCCCTGCCCTAAACTCCCCAGGTCTTTCTGGATCTTTACAATAATAGAAGCCACCCAAACTTTTCCCCACCCCACACTTTTACCTGAGCTACTATGGGTGGATTCCTACCATCCACAAGGAGGCATTTCCCTGTGAAAGCCAGCTGCTGGCTCGTGGAGATGGACCAACAGCCCCTGAACCGGGTCTGCAGTGAGTGACAAAGGAGAACATAGACGGTCCCCCTGGTTGCTGTCCTGGAGACCACTCACTGCAGACTCACGATTAAGATTCTGAGACCAAATGCCTGGGAAAGGAACAAGATGCTACCAGCAATCCTAGAAAAGGCTCGGGCTCCTTACATTATAACAAGAGGGCAAGTTCGGGCAAATATAAAAAGGTAATGCAGAAGCTAATAAAGTCCATGAACTTGTTAACATCAAGGCATGGCAAAGTCTGAAAGCAGAAGCTACCTCCCGAGAGGATTTATATAATTCCGTGAATGAGAAGCATCACAACGGGTTATTAGAAAGAAAAAAAACGTTTCAAACATAACTCTAACCTTTGAAGTTGACGTGGCAACTAGGTGACCCCACCCCTGGTCTCTTGTTGCTACTTGTCAGAGTTCTGCAGAAATCTGCCGAGGGTGAACCATGTTATGGATTCCAGGTAAAGGTGACACAGGAACCACTCACACTGAGGTGTCCCCCTTCACAAAGTTCACATTCACTGGATGCTAAAAGAACCAAAAGAAGGATCTCCGACTCAGAACCATCAACTGAGTTTTGGGTCCAAAACTCCAACTGCCTCCTGAACCTCTCCACCTGGGTGTGCTGCAGGCACGTCCAAATCAAAAGGTCAAAAAGTGACTCCATCACACCCTACCCTCCCAGACCAGCATCACTGCCCTCACCAGGCTCCTGGTCTCAGTGGCTGACTTTAATCTCCCAGAAGGCACCTGGGCAAGAATCACACCTATCATTCCACGCATCAAATCAATCACAAGGCATTGTTGATTCCGCCTCTGTAATATTAAATTTGTTTCCTCCTCTCCAGGCTTTGATCCTTCCTCACCTGGACTGTGCCAGGATTAACACGACCGGCATCTTATCACATCTCCTCTGTGGCTCAGGAAGGTGATGCAACTCATCCATTGTTTCTATAAGCAGCAAGCAGCATTGAGGGGAGGGGGACTAAATAAGAAAAATATGTACAGCTCGATGCCATATTTTAACCACGCAAAGCAATATTATGCATATAGACAATATTTTTATATATGGACATTTGTAGTTAAGTACAAAAATAGGCATGGGGATGACAGACACTAACTTCTGGATCATGATTACTGAGGAAGGAGGGAGGGAGAAAGGGTCTGGGGAAATGGATGAAGCTTTAGGCATATTTGTAATATATCATTTCTGTTAAAAATACTGCAAAATATTAACATTCATCATGCTGGGTGGTGGGTATATTTGATATATTTCACAGTTAAAATAGAAAAGTTTTAAATACATGCAACAGAGAAATAACAGAAGCAAATCTCTGATTTCAAAGCTTGTGCCACTGCCACCACACTGGAAGCCTCAGTTCTTGCCATGCAGATGTTCAAAGGATCTCCTTTTCTTTTCAATGTATATTGCTATCTTTTGTGTTTAAGAAATAGGGTGATGAGGTTTTTTACATTAAGCATGGCCCTGCCTGCCTTTCCTGACCCATGGGAAGGACCAAAGTGGGGAGAGGGCTGTGTAGCGGTGAGGACATTTCCTCCCCCCATCCTTATTTTGGACATCCAGGTGCAGGGTAAAGGTGACCCCACAGAACTGGATGTCCTGTTGATCCATAACTGAATCAAGTTCACTCCCTAGAAAGCTTTCCCTCCTTAAGTGACCAAAGTCAAAGAAAATTATTCCCCAAACTCTATCTCCTTCAAATTTGCCGAGACACAGTGTAAAGGCGGCTGGCACTGAGTGTCACACTGTAGCACGCCACCGCCCGCTTAGGCCGTGAGAGATGCCTCCAAGAGATGCCAGCCGAGCGACTTGCAGGCCCATAACGCTTTCTGTCTGCAGCTCAATTTAAACTCCTATTTAAAATGACCGATCAAACTGATTAAAATTTCAATCTACCTAAACTCACTTCAGGGTGCGGGGGGGAGGGAAGGCACGAAGGGAATGGAGAGAGCATGCTGGAGTAGAGGAGCCTGTTTTCAGTGCGTCCTCAGCTGTTTGTGATGTAGCTGGAGGCAGGCAGGTTTGCAGAACCGGCAGTACGGCTTTCAGAGCTTGAACAGAGCGCTTTAGGAAAAACGATTCAATCTAAAGCAACAAGAGAGCGATTCTGCAGCAGGGGAAGAGGTAGAACGCAGAAGTGGAGAACCACGAGCCCTTTTCTCTAGCTGCTGAGTCAGGGGTGCAGGAATATTCTTCCGCAAATGGCAGTATTCTGAGCCTTCAGTTACAGTAGGTATTATGCACTTTTCTCCCTAGCAACCACCCTGCTCCCTACTGCAGACACACACACATTTCCCTTTTCCTGGACCCCATTTCTTCTCATCCACACGACGTCCTGTGACCCGCCATTTAATAATAATAATAATAATAATAATAATAATAATAATAACATCTTTGAGCCTCGGTTTCTTATTAGGAAAATGAATATAATAATAACAACAACAACAACAATTCTGCAGCCCTGCTCAAAGTTGGTTGGTCCATGGAGAGCACCTGCTGAGTGCTGAGCCAGTGGGCATCTTCCCCAGGAAGAGCCGAATGGATGTGAAAGAGTCAATCTCTCTGCAGAGTCAAAGCAGTGAGCTCCAAATCAGGCTGCTAAAGCAAGCGTGGGTCCTGCTG